TCTCCCTTTGTAAACCTCATGTATTCATTCTGTAAGCTCCTCCAAATGACAACGAGGATAATATGAACAGTCAACACCTTCTGAGCACTTAATGTGTGTGCCAGACATTGTGCTACACACTTCCATAAACTATATCCTTTAGTCTTCATGACAACTCAGTGAATTGGTTTTCTGTGTTTATTGCCATTTTACATATGCTGTGAGCTAGGTTTGACTTAAATAACTTGCCCCCAAGTTACACAGTTCAGTGTGAAGGCAAAAGCTGATTACTCAAGAGCTCACCATCTTTAACTGCTATGCTATACCAAATCCTAAACCTGCATCTCTATGTGCAATTTCTTTCTTTGGAAGGATTCGATGCCATAAATAAATAAAACTTTTGATGATAAATACGGGATCAGTAGATGGGTGGATGGATTGATCAATCGATCGATTGATCGATCGATTGATCAATAGATGGATCGATGGATAGATGGATAGATAGGTGTTGTTGTTAGCTGTCCTCAAGTCAGCCCCTACTAATGGTGACCCCACGTACAACAGAAAGAAATGCTGCCCATTCCTGCACCATCCCCATGATCAGTTGCAGATTAGATTGTTGTGATCCATAGGGTTTTCATTGGCTGATTTTTGGAAGGAGACCCATAGGTCTTTCTTCCTAGTCCGTCTTAGACCAGAAGCTCCACTGAAACCTGTTCAGCATCATAACAACACACAAGCCTCCACTGACAAACGGGTGGTGGCATGCATGAGGTGCATTAACTGGGAATGGAACCTGGGTCTCCCAGGTAGAAGGAGAGAATTCTACTACTGAACCACCAATGCCCCCTAGAAAGATAGATGAGTAGGGAGAGAGGGAGCGAGGGAGGGAGGGAGATCGATAGACAGACAGACAGATAGATAGATAATTTTCCCCATTTCATCCTCAGAAAATAGATTTGGGATCTAAAGAAGTCCAGTTGCATGTGTGCATGTGTCCTCTGCCCGTGTTTGGTGACACCTATGCGCGCAATAGCCCAGGCTTCGGAGATGGAATACCTGAAAGCATCCATCTTCTGATCAGAGACCCTCTAAACTCTGGGAGTAAAATACATTTGTAGCTCTTCTGATTTCATTTTCTGGAATTGTTTATAAAAAATAGCACAGGTCTAGCCTACTGGCACTAGATTGCTTTCACCTGGTCCACATGAGCTACTGCAGGAAATCTGAGAGGAGATGGAGCATACCCAGAGGGAGGCACTGTGTGTCAGCCCAGACTCACCCCATGCTGAACAGATGCAGCTGGGCTTGGCCTGGTGATCAGCGCCAGGAAAGGATGAGCCAGTGACAGCCACTGCCATGTCACAAGCTCACAGACCCCACCCCCACCCCATTACACAGCCCTAAACTGGTCTCCCAAACCCTCCATATTTTCTCTCTTTCTACAAGAACGTATGGGATGAATCCTGAAGGAGAAATAATTTCCTCACTGTGAAAGTGCAGAACTTTCGTTATTTTACTAAGGATGACTTCAGTTTAGTAAAGCCTTTTAAAGTTAACCTTAAGTATTTTTGGCCTCTGATGTCAGCTACAGAATAAAGGTATGCTTTATACAGGTGACTGATTTTAGGGTTGTTTTATTTTTGGAGATGTGGGGGAGGGCAAGCTGAAGAACACAGATCACAGAGTGGTAGCCTATTGTTCGGGACACTTGTTCCTCTGTTAATGAGGGCCATCCTACTGGACAAAATGCAGAGGGGGGATTCTCTTGTCCCTTCCCAATGGGTATCCCCCACCATTAGAGAGATGAAAAGGTCCTCAGAGTAAATACCTTTTTCCTCTGTTCAAAGTCTACTTTCTTCTTTTTCTGCCTGAAGCACTTCCACTGATCCTATTCATTTTCCCTCCATTGCCTCTTGCTCCGAAGATGCTCAGTGTCACCTATAAGTCAATTACAGAGGGAAACATACACAATGCCATTACAAGGAAGCAAAAAATAGCAATGACTTGGCAAACCCTAGGAACACTGACACACAGCTACACCACGATAGAGGGAGGCCAAGAATGATTTCTATCTGAAAGGCTAAGGCTTAGCGTGTGGGGGAAGCTGAGATGTGGGCATTTTTCAGGTAAGGATGATTGGGACTGGATTTGAAATTGAAAAGTTTAAAAAAAAGCAAATGTTTTGGTTTATTGTTCATATATAAACGTATGTTAAGCATGTTCCTTAAAGGGTGGGAAATAATAGAAAATAAATCAAAAGATGTTTGTTCGGTACCAAATGTCACCATTAATGCTCTTAGTAAAGCGAGCTACCTATTAAGAACTAGAAAGGTTGCGGTAGGGGGTACATATTGCACTAAATTCAGTATTTTTCCATTTCTACAAGGAGCAAAGCAAGTTAAAGTGAGGGCTAAGGTTTTCTAAAAATAATTTAGATACTACACAAACTGAAAAGAAACGAGATAGCGGTATTCCTCACCAACATAGGATATAAAATCAGCCTCCTAATGGGTCTCCATTCTTCCACTCTAGTCCCCCATGCTGCCCAGTCTATGCTCAACACGGCCAGAGTGATCCTTCTGGAACATACCTAAGATCATGTCACTCCTCGGCTCAACACCCAACAGTGCCTTCTCAACTCAGAGTAAAAGTCAACATCCTCATGAGGCCCCCAAAGTCCCAAACATCTGCACCTCCCTGGCCTTCCCCTCTGATCCCATCTTCTGCTGCTCTGAGGGCTCCACCCACAGTGACCCCCTTGCTCTTTCCTGAGAGGTTCCACCTTAGGGCCTCTCGCGTCTCCTTTCCTCCATCTGTAGAGTTCTTCCTCTGACCATATGATTCCATCACCTACTCCAGGTCTTTGCCTAGTGTCCCCTTCTCAGTGAGTCCCCCTTGACCATTCTACTTAAGATTGCAGCCCTTCTCAGTCTGCCTGAGTTTTCTGCTTCACACTTATCACCATCTGACATATTTTATATTTTACTTGTTTATCCTTCTTCTTCTCCCTTTAAAATGCAAACTCCATGAGGACAGGTATCTTTTGTCTTTTTGTTCACTGTTATGATTCCAGAGGACTCCTTGGGTGGCACAAATGGTTAAGCGCTAGGATACTAACCAAATGGTTGACTATTCCTCTGCATCCAGAGGCACTTAAGAAGAAAGGCCAGGTCATCTACTTCCAAAAGATCACAGCCACTGAAAACCCTACAGAGCATAGTTCTGCACATGGGGTCACCATGAGACAGAGTCGACTTGATGGCAACTGCTTTGGGTTTTTTGGTTTTATAGTTCCAGAGCTTAGAACAGTCCTTGACATATGGTGGGCATCTAATACTTATGTGTTGACTCAATGAAGGAACGGATGAGCATGGTCCTGTCTGCAGTACCTGCTGGGGGGCTCATGGGGCCATTCTCCAGAGGGAACCACCAGCTCAGTCTACGTCACAGGCCTGCTGCCTGGAGGCGCTGTACACTGGTAACCTCCAGGAGGGATGAGGGTCAGGGAGAGAGAAGTGCTCCTTTCGGGGAGTAATCATGCTTAGGAACTAAGGGATCATTTGTCCTGGAGTTAATATCGAAAGTACCTCTCTGAACAGCAGCTGTCCAACAGATACACAGCCTCTAATTCTTGAGAAAAAAAAAACTTAGCCTGATTGGCTTTTCCTTCTCCTGATTTTGAATATTATAAATTCATGCATAAACCTGAAGAGACTAGGTAAGATGTTTAGCCTTGAAATACATTCTGTGAATTTTTTCCTCATGAATTTGGTCTGTTAATTACATCTCATCTATAACTTTTATGGTCTGGTCATAAGCTTGTAAGCAGGCTGGCAGAGAGGGTCGGAAAGAGATTGCTGATTGACCATTGTGAGAGATATTTCCAGGTGGAGACATACCAGGGCAGACCCTGGAAACGAGCCCAGCCCCTGCATACCAGTTGCCATCGAGTCAACCATGACTCATGGCCACCCGATGTGTGTCAGAGTAGGGCTGTGCTCTACAGGGTTTTCAATAGCTGATTTCTCAGAAGTAGAGCTCCAGGCCTTTCTTCCAAGGTACCTGTGGGTGGACTCGAACCCCCAACGTTTTGGTTAGCAGCTGAGCCTGTTGCCTATTTGCACCACCCAGGGACTCCATAGAGTCCCCCACATAGATATTATTTAGAGTCGAGGTGTCTCTCTGGGAAACGGGTACAGGAGAGAGTGTGGGCAGCAGAGGGTAGGAGCGTGATAAGAGTCAGGAGAATGAATAGAGCCACTTCCTATGGTTTCTTCTAGACATGATCATCTTAAACTCAGCACAGGCAGGAAGCTTTTATTTTAGCAAACCCAAACTACTTCCTGTCTCATGCTACTTGCTAAGCACAGCATTAGCGCCTCTACTTTAAAAAGAGAGAGAGTCTTCCTAGATATCATTTCATTACAGCAGCCAACACACAAGCCCAGCCATCACCCACCCGCTTTCTTGGGCACTGATACATCTGGCTGAAGGGAGATTTCTGGCCTCTGTGGTTGATTCTGCAATTATCATAATCTCCACTCCCCAGAGGTCGAGGCTGCTGAAGTGGATTAGTGCACAAGCCTTTGGCATCTCTGGAGAGCGGAGTTCAAATCCTGAGCTTAGGTCGTAAGTAAAGATGAAGGGGGCTGGTTTCACAGTTTATCTTCCTTTGGGGAGCAGAAAAAGGCACAGCTAGTTATGATTATTAATCTTGTTCCGGAGAAGCACAGCCAGCAATGTGGTGAATTGATCCTCATCCAGAAAAACTGGCAACAGCCCACAGGCTGCCAACTCTCTGAATTCACTCTGGGCTCTTTCAAACACAATGTGAATTTTTTTTTTTTTTCGAAAGAAATCACAGTGTGACTGTTTGCTCCCTGGCAGAGAGAAGCATGTTATTTTGCAGAGGTGCCCATTTGTGCTCCAGTAATTTAAATGGAGATAAAGTAGTCTGCAGTGATCCGCGCATTATGAAAAGAGGGACCGATGGGTTCTCTTGCCTTCTCTCTTGACAGGTGTATTTCTACTGGATTTGCCGGGATGCGAGGGCTTTTGAGTGGTTTGCTGATCTCTTACTCTCACTGGAAACACAAATGAGTGAGAGAGGAAATGCTCACTTCCTGAGTTATCATATATTTCTTACTGGCTGGGATGAAAATCAGGTATTGATAAGACTCTGAGTATGAGCAATATTACCTAACTCGTCTAATAACTGAGCAAAGACAAGAGGAATCATTTCAATAATGAGCTATATAGTTATTTGGTAGTGTGAAAGAATGATTGTATGTTCTTCAAAAGGAAAGGAGAATAAAATAAAGCCAGATTAGAAAGAACCATTCAAATCACAGTAATAAAGGAATCTACAGTTAACTTACCAAGGAACAGAAAAGAAAGAGGCTGGCTAATGGACAACAATCCCAAATTTGAAGATCCAAGATAAATTATGTCACTAAAAGTTGCATTTGTCATTTTAAGAGTGGCATCAAGCAAATGATATTGATTGGCTATATCGTCTTGTTAAACTCCTAACTGGTTCTAGTCCTCTGCTTGGAGCTGTTCAGAGTTAAATAGAAAAGGTTCCTAGGTGTTTATATTCAAAATTGCGTATTGTAAAGTAAATGAGTTTTCACAGAAAATAGTTATTATGAATACATGAATTATACACAGATTTCTTTTTTAAAGGCGTTCCTATAAATTGTGTGCATGTATTATTATTCACCTAAGAGCAAGACGAACTTGCTTTGGCAGGTGTTTGGCAGTGTACTGTATCAGTGAAACACTAAGGTTGCGCTTACCAAAAATAATGGAGACCAAAATACTGCACTATGAGTATTGACTGATGACTATTACCTTTTAATCCTCAAATATGGGAGTTAGCAATGATTACCAGGTTATTAGAGGAGCCCTGGTGTGTAGTGGTTAAAGCGCTCGGCTGCTAACCGAAAGGTAGGCAGTTCGAACCCACCAGCTGCTCCGAGGGAGAAATATGTGGCAGTCTGCTTCTGTAAAGATTTACAGCCTTGGAAACCCTATGGGGCAGTTCTACTCTGTCCTATAGGGTCACTATGAGTTGGAATGGATTCCAAGGCAGTGGGTTTAGTGTTTTGATCGGAATGCATATTCTAATCAGCACTCTGTAGCAGCTACTATTGATGTTTACTTTTAAGGAAAGTGTGTTAGAGTTAAGCAGATTTGCATTTATCATTAAATTTACAAATGAATGCTCACACTCAAGCATGGGCTTGTCTCTCTCTCTCTCCCTCTCTCTCTCAGTCTCCCTTCTGGCTCTCTATCTCTCTCACTGGCCCTATAAAACGTCACCGTAAATTGACTCTGTGCTTCTCAAATGAGTAAGACTCTGCTTGAAATTCTGTAGCTAAATGAATTTTTATGGTCTTATTTGCAGTCCTCCTTAAATATCTTATTCCTCTGGGATAATCTGAAATATAGGTTTCTTGGAAATTAGGTTTCAAACATCTTAATGAATTTAATACTGTTAATTATGTTTTCCAAACAAACATTTTCTTTATTCAAATGGGATTTTTGACTAATGATCCATTTGGTGGAGGACAGACATAGCTCTTGTCTTTTGCTTGCTGGTACCATGCTTGCTCTTCTGCTTCTAAAGTGAATTGATGCCGAGTGTCTACACAAGCATTCCCAGTCCTTTGGGAGTTGTGAGACAGGCTCTGTTTGATTTTGTGACAACACACTCTACCCCATCCCATCTCCACCACTTTCAAAAGCATGCTATAAAATATACTTCTTTTCCCCCCTAAATAAAAGTAAATTGAAATAAATGTGTTCTTAAAATTTTGCCATGACTACTAGAAATACTTTAGACTCCCAAATTTCAGGCTGGATATTGCCAATCTAAACATTTAAGGAAAAAAATAATTGGTACATTCTGTCAGTAAGGAATCAAGAGACTGTTTTAGAAATAGCCAATTGTTCAACTGAATTTGACAACCTCAAAGTGGCAGAATGACAAGAACAGAAGGAACAGATGGAAGAGGTAGTGTGAAGGGCAAATCAACAGGCTTTGGAGAGTAATTGAACATTGGAATGAGAAATATGGAACAAATATAACTCCAAATGTTTGTACATTCGTGATTGGTAGATTAGTGGTACCACTCACATAAGTAGGGAAGGCCCTTTTTTCTACTAAATAAACGGTCAAACTTCTTAGCAAGTAGTGTAAGGCCCTTCCCAATCTGTCCCCAACTCACTTGTTCTACCCTACCAGCCACCATTTTCCAAACTACCCATGTGCTCCCATCATGCCATGTGCTTCTTATACTTCCTTGTCTTTACTCACTTTGTTTTTGTTTCTAGTAGCGAAGGATCATGGTCTCATTCATGGTGTTGTACACCTGGTTTTCCCCTTCATTAGGTTACCACTTTGTCACAGAGCAGAGACATCATCTCTTTCCTCTTTGTCCCACTCAGTTCATAGTTCACTGCCTGCCTATAGGAGTCACTCAAGAATGGTGCATGGAAGTAAATTGAAGTCATGACTAATTTGAGAAGTGAGATGATTCAGTTTTAGTTATGATAATCAATTTGATGTAACAGTACCAATTCTACATTAAATATGTCATGGGGAGTTTGAGGTTCAGGAGTATACTCAAGCAGGAAGATGAGATCTTGGGAGAAAAAGAAAGCTTGGATTCATCTTTGTAGATTATGCTAATTGGGGCGATAGAAATGGAAGGTCTTTGAGGGGTAGAGGTCCAAAGGAGGTGAGGAAAGCTGAGACTAGAACCTTGGAAGGTAGATACATTTTGAGATAGGAGAATATGATAAGAAAAAAGAAATCTAACGTTTCCTCCTTGAATCAAAAGAAATGTCAGAGACGAGCAAAAGAAGTAGGATTTTATAACACAAATAGAACCAAGAAGAAGTAGTGTTCAGCATCTAGCAGAGAAGCCAAGGAGAATGAGGCTTGAGAGGGCTGTTAGATTTGATAATCAGACAAAAGTAAGTTGATCGGTGCCCTTATCTCTGCATCCTTCCTCTGCCCACAGCTGAAACGAGCTTACTACACAGCACCAATCCATCCCTAAATTGAACAAATGGTTGGGGGGATGCAACACTCCCAGTCTAATCTGGAGGCTGGTACAACTCTGACTTTGAGTTCCAGTTCTGACAACAGGGTTTCTGCCAATTTCCAAGATTCAGTCCTCATCTGCCACCTCAGTTCTTATTCCCAAACTCTCATCCAATGCTTCATGCTTCAGTATCTATCCTGATAACCCTGCCAAAGAAGAGGGTCCTGCCCTACTCTTTTTCCCCACCAGTAGTAGCCCTGCTATCTAGAGTCAGGCTTACTTGATGGCAACTTCCATGTGACCTGGATTTTTGAGATTCCAGTCTGCCATGGTGTACTGGCCCTTAAGTGTACTCCACCATGTTCTGTGGAGCCTCCCTCACCCTGGCTGCTTTCCTAGACTGGAGAGAAGGCCAGCCAGGGATCCAGGCTTGCAGCAGGGACTGGGACAGGCATTGGATCCAGCAGGGTTGTCAACCCAAACTGTCAGGAACACAGAGTCAGAGGATGAGAGAACACTGAACACTATAGAGTCAAACTCGTGAGCTCAAGAGCTGTTGATAGATCTAGTGATGAGCCCAGAGGACACAAATCCCAGATGGTAAGAAGCAAGATAGATATTAGAGCCCAGCAGGGGCAGAAACAAATGACAGTAACTTAAAAAATGTCATTAGGGATCAATATGCCAAGACTCTTACTTATTGCCCACCAGTTACATGGTGCCTGCCTGGGTGCATTTGCTTAATTCAAAGGCACAAATCTCCAACCACACCTCTTGCTATGCTCTAGCCCCCATGTGCTGTCTGCCAGATGAAACATCGAAACATCCTCCCAGCACCAAAACCAGACAGGACACCTCATACCACTTCAACCTGGTAGGCAGGTTAGATGGTAAGACCCAGCTTCTTCCCAGACATTTACATCTCTTTAATCTGGCAATGCCCTTCTCAAATCCTGAGATTTACTATTCAGTGTGGGACAGCAAGTGGAGATTCATTTTGAGAAATTTGGCAAAAATAAAGTTGCTAGCACTTGCTTTCCCTTAACCATATTAAACTCTGTTTACAAAAGATTCTAGGCTGATGTAATTGCATTCCTACTATGTGTAAGGTACTTTGCTCCAATAGGGCCCAAGGCAGGATACAAAGATACATGAGATAAGATGCCTGCCCTGAAGTGCAGAATCTGTGATATCTGCTAATAACAATAAGCATTTCCAGCCCCATAAGAAACATCTTTGCATTAGATCTACAAATGAGTATAATCGCTTCATCCTTTATTGAGTAGAAGGTTTTTTGTTTTTGCTTTTGTTTTTTTCCCAAATGTCATCTAATTCCACAAATTTTACTTTAGGCTATTCACATAGCTTTACACTGGGATGAAAAAACTGATGTGATTACAGGCTTAAAGCAAAAAACATTCTATGGAAGACCCAACTGGAACAATGAGTTCAGACAGATAGCCTACAATCACCCCAGGTAAGGCAAGCTTTCTTTCCTCTACCTACTCTGTGCCTCCCTGGAGAAATATAAGTTGCTGTTGAAATGGAAGCTCTTGGGCCCTAACTGGTTAATCTGCAGTACTGGACCTCTTATTTAGAGATAAAACATCTACCTTAGAGAAGATGGCCATTGGATATTTCAGGAACCACAAACCACTTGACTGGCTTTCAACCTCTGACAATTATCAATTAAGTTGAAATTTTTTTAACTTCAATTTCAAGATGGGATTTCTTAAACTGCATGTATCTTCAAGAAATCTTTTTGGTGGATACAGCTGAACTCTAATTACCCAACTGGAGAATTCACTTAAGTCCAACTGTAAACTGTAGCTAAGCACATCTAGCAAAAACAGACAGAAAATGTCTAATACCAAGCAGGGATTTAGGATGGTGGTTAAGAACTCAGGCTCTGGAGCCCATGTGCCTGGGTAAAAATCCTGGCTTTGCCATTACCGACAGTTGACCTTGGGTATGTTATTTAACCTTCTGCTGACTCAGTCTCCTCCTCTGTAAACTGCAGATAATAGTAGTGCTTCTCTCCTTGGGTTGTGTGAGGATTGAATGAGTTCTTACATTTAAAATGCCTAAAACAGTGTTTTGCATCGAATGAGTACTCAGTAAATGTTAGCTGTTATTATTACTATCATCATTAGCATCAGTACTATTATTATTATCATTATAATACACTTCCATGTGGTGAGAAAGAGTACTGGCTCTGGGTCCACAAGATGGGCGTGAGTAGTTCCCAGATTGTATCTCCTGGTTCTATGGGAGTGAGTAGTTCCCAGATTGTATCTCCTGGTTCT